CTCAATGATGCTTTCTCACTATTCTTACCCTGGATTCAAACAGAAATCCTTGGCAATCATAGTGTTTGTAACTTGTTGAGATTTACAGGGGGAAATAATCATTAAATCCAAATGCTAATTACTTAGAAAGTTAGCTAGACAATTCTTTCTCCCAAATATAGACCCTATCTCCAAGAAATTAAATCTAGAGGCCAGAATTATAATAATTTATAACACACGTTGTCAGTGAAATGAAAGGGTTCATCCCACTTGTACCACATCCTTAATTGCCTCCAGCACATGGTAGCCACAAGATCTCCGACATTTTCAGGTATGGCCTCAAAACAAAAGATGCTACATTTTCTGGATTTGGTTATGGTAATGAGAAGTGCTCAAACTGTGAACTATTACAGGTTGAGGAAACCTAAGTCAAATGTCACATAAATCACTGACATACAAAGCTTCTGTTATCTATATTTCATAGGCAAACTCCCAACTCTAGACTATTGACATACATGTCAAAGATGGTCCGTCCTCAACAACACACAAAAAAACCAATTAAAATTTATTTTCTAAAACATAATCAGTTAATACAACTAAAAAAAGATTATTAAGAAAAAATTATAAATTCTTTGCACACAGTAACTTTTACAAATTGTCTTCTATAGTAACTCAACAGCTAAAATCTAAATTTATGAACAAACCCTGATGAGTTGATTGGAAAAAAAAAGACACCAATTTGAATAGAGAAAAGCCATAGCTCAGAAAGACAAACAAATGGACTTTTCACTTTTTTTCATTATTGAATTGTATTAATATTTCCACTAATGCTCATTCTCTTAAGGGGAGTTCCCAAAAGAAGGACAGAAGTAACAAATACACAGTGGGCAGTGTCTGGGATGAGAACACTTTCAGTCTTCACTGTTCCAATGAGCCAAGTTTCCATCACCAATTTCAGAGACGTAAAAAAGCAACAAGGAATTAATCCTACAATTTCATTTTTTTCCTACTCAACAGTCATTTTATGGCTTAGTGAGCACTATTGAGCTCAACAGTCACTAGCAGTTATGTGAATGTATACAAGGCATAAGAGATTTGGAATCTCCAATTGATGCAAATAACAAGCTGCATGGCTTACTAAAAGTCTGGAGGTGAGAATGTTCCTGGAGGAAGGAGTCTTCAAAGAAAGGCCTGGTGATTTACCTTAAAAAAAAAAAGAATGACACTGAAAACCCCAGGGAGGACAGTTCTATTATGACACACCAAAGGTGACTACGAGTTTGAATTAACTAAACAGCAACTGGTTTAAAAAATAATAATAATAATAATGGAGCTTAATAAAAAACAAACAAAATCCTTTGCCCTTAAGTCGATTATGACTTAGAGGGACCCTGCAGGACTGAGTCAAAAAGTTGTTGTTTAATTGGAAAACTATCTGCAGAAGAATTAAACAAGATCCCCACCTCACTCCATATGCAAAAACCAACTCAAGGTGGATCATGGACCTAGGACTAAAACCAAGGACTGTAAACTTCATTCAAGAAAAGCTTGGAAAAACTTTAGTA